GGCCAGGCTAGTCTCGAACTCCTGGACTCAAGTGATCCACCCACCTGGGCCTCCCAAAGTGCTGGGATTACAGGCATGAGCCACTGCACCCGGCCTGCACTTGCTACTTCTGCCCAGAATGCGCTCATCCTAGCTGCTTCTCTCACCTTGTTCAGGTCTCTGCTTAAATGTCACTTCATCAGTGAGGCCCCTATATCAAAAGCAACCACTGCCTGCCTCCCAGCTTGCCTGCCTGTCCTCTATCCCCATTCTACCTTGCTTTATTTTTCTATCATTACCGTATCTCCAGAACCATGAACAGTACTTGACAGAGTAGGCATTCGGTACATATTTGTTGAATGAATGTGGCTATATATATATATATATATATAAGCTGAAAAGCTGACTTTTAAAAAAATGCTCTCAAGTCACTTTTCTATCTCACTGAGTTGGCATCCCCTCGCTCTACCTGGGGGCACCTTAGCGCTGTTTTTTATAGTTCATCTCCCTCCCCCAACACAAATGCACATCACATCCACACACACTCAGCCACACCCGCTCATGCTGCTCAGGCAAAAAAACTCAGTCTCCCCTCATTCCTTCATCACTCCTCCAGCCTCCTTCCACTCTCATCTCCAGCAGTCCTGGGATTGCTCCAGAGACATGACCTCACATCTGAAGAGAGGACTCCTTTTTCCATGAAGTCCATTAAGTACCCTCTCAAGGACTTCATGACTTTGGCTCCATCAGATACAACAGTGAACGTAGGAACTTTGTTTCTCTTCCTTGCCAACAATCCTTATCTGCCTTATATTGAGCCTCACCCCTGGCAGGGCCTGCTCTGCCTTCTACATCTCACCTATGGGACACTGCTCACCACAGCTCACTGGACAGAAAGGAAAGGAAAGAGAAAAGAGAAAAGAAAAAGGAAAGGAAAGCGAGTGAAAGGAAGGAAGGAAGGAAGGAAGAAAGGAAGGAAGGAAGGAAGGGAGGGAAGGGAAGGGAAGAGAAGGGAAGGGAAGGAGGGCACAAGGGCCAGGTGTGGTAGCTCACGCCTGTAATCCCTACACTTTGGGAGGCCAAGGCAGGTGGATCACCTGAAGTCAGGAATTCGAGACTAGCCTGACCAACTTGGACAAAACCTATCTCTACTAAAAATACAAAATTAGCCAGGTGCGGTGGCACGTGCCTGTAATCCCAGCTAGTTGGGAGGCTGAGGCAGGAGAATCACTTGAACCCAACCTGGGAGGCGGAGGTTGCAGTGCACTGAGATCATGCCATTGCACTCCAGCCTGGGCAACAAGAGCAAAACTCTGAAAAAAAAAAGAAAAAAAAAAAAAAAGGAAGGAAAGTAGGAGAGAAAGAAAGAAAGAGAGAGAGAGACAAAGAAAGAAAGAAAGAAAAAAGAAAGGAAAGAAAGAAAAAGAAAGAAAGAAAAAGAAAGAAAGAAAGAGAAAGAGAGAGAGAAAGCGGGGAGGGAGGAAGGGGGAGGGAGGGAAAAGAGAAGAGGGAGGGAGGAAGGGAGAGAGGAAGAGAGTGAAGGAGAGGAGAGGAAAGGAAATGAAGGAGAGGGAGAGACCGGGAGAAGGAAGACAGACACAAACTCTGGTTACTTGCAAAGTTACATCCCTTTAATTCCTGGAGTAGACAACTGCCTATATGGTATGTCTCCAACAACTCTGAAAATGGGCTCTTGCATTTCCTTTTTCATCCTCACCTGTTCAAGAGTTTTTTTCTTTCTTTCTTTTTCTGTTTTAGAGACATGGCCTTGCTCTGTCGCCCAGGCTGGAGTGCAGTGGTGTAATTATGGCTCAAGCAATCCTCCTACCGCAGCCTTCCAAGTAGCTGGGACTACAGGCACACGCCACCACACCTGGCTAATTTTCTTTACTGAAGAGACAAGGTCTCACTACGTTGTCCAGGCTGGTCTCCAACTCCAGGGCTCAAACAAGACTGCTGCCTTGGCTTCCCAAAGTGTTGGAATTACAGGTATGAGTCACTGTGCCTGGCCAACAATTTCCTTTTTTCTTTTTTTTTTTGAGACAGAGTCTTGCTCTGTTGCCCAGCCTGGAGTACAGTGGCAAGATCTCAGCTCATTGCAACCTCTGCTGCTGGGTTCAAGCGATTCTCATGCCTCGGCCTCCCAAGTAGCTGGGAGTACAGGCATGCACCACCATGCCCAGCTAATTTTTTTGTATTTTTAGTAGAGATGGGGTTTCACCATGTTGGCCAGGCTAGTCTTGAACTCCTGACCGCAAGTGATCCATCCACCTCAGCCTCTCAAAGTGTTGGGATTACAGGCATGAGCCACCACGCCTGACCAGCAGATTCTTAAGTTTTGGAAGGAAGAAGAGAAAGGGCTCTAGGCACCTAAAGGCAGTAGGTAAAGGACAGCAAGTGGCTGGGTGCGGTGGTTCGTGTCTGTAATCCCAGCACTTTGGGAGGCCAAGGTTAGGCAGATCACTTGAGCTCAGGAGTTTGAGAGGCCAGCCTGGGCAACATGACGAAACTCCCCATCTCTACAATTTAATTAAAAAAAAAATAAAAGGATAACAGGTAACCAAAAAAGAAAAAGGTGGCTACAAGATTGTATGCCTTCAATTGGCAGAGACTGTGTCTTATACTTTTGTATGTATGCTTAATACAACGTACCTAGGATAGTGCCAGGCCTCATTAAACATTTGTTTTTTATTTTTTTGGAACAAAGTCTCGTTGTATCCCCCAGGCTAGAGTGCAATGGTGTGATCTCGTCTCACTGCAACCTCCACCTCCCAGGATCAAGTGATTCTCCTGCCTCAGCCTACTTGTGGGATTACAGGCACTTGCTACCACGCCCGGCTAATTTCTGTTTTTGTTGTAGTTGTTGTTTTGAGCCGGAGTCTCACTCTGTCGCCTAGGCTGGAGTGCAGTGGCGCAATCTTGGCTCACTGCAACCTCCATCTCCTGGGTTCAAGCGATTCTCCTGCCTCAGCCTCCTGAGTAGCTGGGATTACAGACATGTGCCACCATGCCTAGCTAATTTTTGTATTTTTAGTAGAGACTGGATTTCACCTTGTTGGTCAGGCTGGTCTCGAACTCCTGACCTCGTAATCTGCCCGCCTCGGCCTCCCAAAGTGCTGGGATTACAGGCATGAGCCACCGTGCCAGGCCTTAAACATTTGTTGATTGGCTGGACAATAAAGAACTTGCTTTAGAAGGAGGAGAGGACAAAAAAAAAAAAAAAAAAAAAAGGAATGGATAGGGTATCTTTAGTTAAGTTTCAGCCACAGAACCTTTACTGGGACAACTCTTGATCACATGTCAAACTGCTTTCATTTGGGGCAAGAGGATAAGGGGAAGTTGCATGGTGGAATGTGCAGAGATAGAGCATCTGGAAGATAAAAGATTTTACTAAGTATCTTCCCCAGAAACAGCAATGAAAAACAAATTTACTTTTATTCTGTCTGTTTTCCTCTGACTTGCCAGTCTGCCAGCTTGTATCTTAACTATCTGTCTCTGCTCCCTGTCTCTATTATTGTTTTTTCCTCTTTAATAATGATCAAGTCCAAAGAAACCTGAGAAGCCCTGTTCCTAGCACCTTTTCCTGAGTTACCAGGAACCCCCTCTTTCTCCCCCAGGGAATTATCGGGAACAAGTCTTTCTCATTGGGTCAGACTCCACACAGCACTAATATGGCTAAAAGCCAGAGTAAAGAACCAGGGAAAGCTGGAGTTTGGATGAGTCTGGTTAAAGTCCATCCTAGACAGTCCAAATGCCCTGACCCCAAAGGGGAGGGCCCTTCTCTCCAGCAGAGCCAGATTTTATGCAAGACATTTAGTATGTCAAAGGATCAGTCTCTGGCCTTGGAGGCAGGTCTCCTGGGCCCCGTTTTAGCTCCTCCCCTGGGTGATCCAGGTTAACTGAGCTCTCCACTCCTTTCTTCCCCCAAACTTTAGACCTTTGACCTAAGAAAGCAAGCAAGAAAGGTCAGTGCAGGACTGGGAGCTCTTGAGGACGCAAGAATTAGAGTAAAAGGAAAGGGAGAGTGGCATTAAACTAATAGATTTCAGAACTGTAGCCTTTCCCCAGTCCAACCCTTCACAGTTGGGTAATGGGGGAGGGCTCCAGGTCCCTCTCCAATGCCAGTTCTCAAGGGCCTCGGGTTCCAGCCTGGCCGAGGAGCGCCATCTGGCGGCCAACCCCCCAACCTGGATTCTCTGCCCCATCCGACTTTCCGAAGCCCGAACTAGATCTGGGCTGGAGAGTGTCACCTCCTCCTCTGCGTCACTCCGGGGACTCCGCCCTGCCAGGAACGCTCCTCCTCAAGCGGGGACAGGCCCAAGCGACTCCCCGGCAAGAAAACTGCCCATCCTCCCTCCAGGGTAGACTGCTTTTCCACTAGAGTCTGCTTAAAGCTCCCCCAAGGGATCCGCCCCGCCTCGTCGCCCACAGAGAGCCCGCCTCTCCCCGAGGGGCATCTGCCCCTAGTCCTCCAGTTTCCCCCGGAGGAGGGAGAGGGAACGTGCTGCACAGCGCCCCCAAGTTCAACCCCCAACTCGGTCCCTCCCGAAGAATGGATTCCTCTTCTCCTTCTCCTCCCCAGCCTTATAGGAGCCTCTTCCAGTCCACAGAACCCAAATCCAGGTTACTAATGAGTTCCCCTTCCTCGTGGCCAGGTGAACCCTCTCGACCTCAGGTTCCGCTCGCCTGAGCTTGGCCCATGGCCCCGCCGCCCCTGGGACTCGGCCCCAGCCTTCTCACCACCCACGCCAGTGGGCGGGGCTCCCACGGCCCGGCCCCGGGTGGGCGGTTCCATCGTGACGTCACTTCCGCCCGGGCCTGGCCTAGGTTCGGGCTCCGTGGGCCGAAGGGGGGGTACGGAGGTGGCAGCGGTGGGAGGAGGCGGCGTGAAAGGCCGAGGAGCTCGAGCCCGGACCAATCCCCGCGTTCTGGGCCGCGACCCTGACCCTGCAGCGCACCGGGAAGCGAAACCGGCCGGATGGGCCGCTGAGCCCGAATCGGGCACTGGTGAGGCTCAGGCAGAGCGGGCAGCGCTGAACGGGAGCGGGCCCGCGGGGCTGCAGGGTCTGGGAGCCCGGGATGCGGGCTGGGGAGACGAGAGGCTCAGGCCTACCTCTTCGGCTCACCCGGCGGGGAGGCGGGAGCTGGAGGAGCCGCAGACAGGCGCGGGGGTCTTAGTGAGGCCCGCCTGGGGGAGGCCTGGTGTAAGGAGGGGGCGGGGTGGCTGGGGTCATTAATGGGGCGGAGGACCGGCACTTGGGATTTTCGTCTAGAACGGTGGCGGCGGGGGAGGAGGGGAGAGTATGCTACTGGCCAGAGCTTTGGGAAGAGGATGGCTCTGAGTGGGGGAGGGAAAAACCGAGAGGCTTGGAAAATTTTTCCGTGGCCCTAATTGAGAGAGAGGTTTGAAGAGCCCTTACCTCCTTAGAGGGTTGTGCGGAACACTGGAGTAGGGTCTCCCTGGAGTTTAGGGGGTCAGTTACAGCGTTTGGAAAGGACAGTGCTCTAAGAGTCCCTACACTGAGTGGGTGTGCAAAACCCTGGCCACCTCCAAGTATCTGAGCTTCCACATGTTTCCAGTGTGGAGCCCCCTGGAGCTGAGATCAGGATGTTCCGCTTCATGAGGGATGTGGAGCCTGAGGATCCCATGTTCCTGATGTGAGTATTCCCTCCCCCTCAAGCTTCCCACTCCAGGTCTCTCAGCAGTTCAGGCAGACGTCGGGGTTTCCATTGCTGGGAATGGTTGGAACTGGCTGGATACCCAGCTTCTACCTAGCAGGAAGTAGGCATCGGTGCCACTGTTGCTCTGTGCGTATTTTTTGCAGGGTGGTGGAGGGATTAACAGTTTGGCGCTTCTGCCATCCATACTATGTGCTCACTCCACAGGGATCCATTTGCTATTCACCGTCAGCATATGAGCCGTATGTTGTCAGGTGGCTTTGGATATAGCCCCTTCCTCAGCATCACAGATGGCAACATGCCAGGGACCAGGCCTGCCAGCCGCAGGATGCAGCAGGTAATGGTACTACGACACACCTGAGACCCAAAGAAAGGTTGGAGGTTGGTTAGGAAAGCACTTTAGGTTTCTTGCACTACAGCCAACTGAGCAAGTGAAGTGCTCTAGGAATGGGGGAAAGGGTCAGGAAAAAGGGCTTTGTGACTCCCTTTTGAGAGGATGGAAAAAAAAAAATTGAGGCCATGGGCCTCGTTTGGGATTGTATGGAGATAGGATGTGGTCTGTAATTTCTGTTCCTCATGTGTTCCTGTAGGCTGGAGCTGTCTCCCCCTTTGGGATGCTGGGAATGGTGAGTCTTCATCTCCCGTGTCCTGCCATCTCAGACACACTCTCTACCCTTAGGTATTATTCCCAAGTGTGCCTTTTAGGAATAGTTTCATGGGTAACCCCAGAATCTTCTCTTTTTATGGCATTCACAAAGCTCTGAGCCTGCTGGCTACTAGGAGCCCTGTGGGTTAAAGGTGTTATTAACTCTCGTTGGGAGGCCGAGATGGATCATCACTTGTGGTCAGGAGTTTTGAGACCAGACTGGCCGTCGTGGTGAAACCCCTTCTCTACTAAAAATACCAAAAAAGCCAGGCATGGTGGCACACACCTGTAGTCCCACCTACTCTTGAACCTAGGAAGTAGAGGTTGCAGTGAGCTGAGACTGCACCAGTGCACTCCAGCCTGGGCAACAGAGCCAGACTCCACCTCAAAAAAAGAAGAAAAGACGTTATTAACTCTTGTACTCCTAGAAGTCCATGCTCATTAGGAAGATGTAATTGTCTAGCAAAATTTGTTCTTTGGAGGGGGGAGGCGCAGTTAAAGGGCCAACTAGAGATGATTTTTTGGTAGGTTTTAACAATTTCATGCCTTATCTCTTTAGAGTTTAGGATCCATTAACTTTGGCTTGCTTCCTAAAGATGGGGGGAATATAGCAGGCAGGAGAAGGAAAATTGGATCAGAGCAGTCATAGAGATTGAGGAAGGGGTCAGCAGTTTACAGGAAGAGAAACATGAGTATTCTGGTTACGTTAATAGAGAATGAGAAAGAGAACTTGCTAGATGTGAAGAAGAGAAAGGAAGTGTGCAGCCACGTGGGTTGTGGGTTCCTAAACAGGATCAACTCTGAACACTGACTTTGGTTTCCTGACTCTGTTTTCCATCTCTCCTCCAGTCGGGTGGTTTCATGGACATGTTTGGGATGATGAATGACATGATTGGAAACATGGTGAGACTTGCCCCATACCCTTCCCCGGCCTTGCTCTCAGTGATGGCTGACAACACCTTGAATCCTCTAAGGCAAGAGGGAGACAGTATGCTAGTGAAGGGTAAAGTACTGGATACCGTAATTGAACCAGAGAGCCTTGGGACCCTGTATCTGCTGTCATGCCTGCCTGAAGCAGCCAGCAGCAGCACTCTTACGTAGCATACAATTAAGGCTCTGTCTCTTCAGATCCTTCTTGCTCGTGGTTGGACTCAGAGGAATTTGGGAGGGTAATGATGAGGCCTGATGTTTTTTCAGTTCTTGCATTTTGTGAGAAAGATACAGGCTAGAACAGGCAGCTGAAGGGTGAAATCTCTTCACCAGGGGGGATGCCTCCCCATTCAGCCCTCTCCTGCCTACCCTGTCCTCAGGAACACATGACAGCTGGAGGCAATTGCCAGACCTTCTCATCTTCCACTGTCATCTCCTACTCCAATACGGGTGATGGCGCCCCCAAGGTTTACCAAGAGACATCAGAGATGCGCTCGGCACCAGGCGGGGTGAGTGGGGGGGCCCTCCTGTCCCAGAGAAGGGGGGATTGAGCGGCACCGCCAGAAACCCTGGCTGCTTTTTTCCGGATTGGGTTGTGTGTGGTGTGTTTCTCCTGAGATGGTATAGCCAGGGCTTTGGAAGGGGCGGCTGAGTGTGCCATGTTCTGCCTCATCCCAGATCCGGGAGACACGGAGGACTGTTCGGGATTCAGACAGTGGACTGGAGCAGATGTCCATCGGGCATCACATCCGGGACAGGGCCCACATCCTCCAGCGCTCCCGAAACCATCGCACGGGGGACCAGGAGGAGCGGCAGGACTATATCAACCTGGATGAGAGTGAGCCTTCCCTCCCACTTCCTGGCCGGCAGCCCCTAGCCCAGTTCCTGTGGGCTAGGAGACATCCCTAACTCATAAACACTTCTGGACTCCGGGAAAGTCTCTAAAATCAAAAATAGCCGGGAGGGCGCCTAGTCATATGGGGGGGGCAGGGGGGTGAGGGGGGGCTGCGTGGGGATCGCCACTGATAGTGGCGAAAGGATCCGTCTCAAAAAAAAAAAAAAAAAAAAAAAAAAAAAAAAATAAAGCTTGGATAATATATATATATATTTTTTTTTCTTTTGAGACGGAGTCTCGCTCTTGTTGCCCAGGTGCCCAGGCTGGAGTGCAGTGCCTCGATCTCAGCTCACTGCAACCTCCGCCTCCCGGGTTTAAGCGATTCTCCTGCCTCAGCCTCCCGAGTAGCTGGGACTACAGGTATGTACCACCACGCCCAGCTAATTTCTGTATTTTTAGTAGAGACGGGGTTTCACCATGTTGGCCAGGCTGGTCTCAAACTCCTGACCTCAGGTGATCCACCTGCCTCGGCCTCCCAAAGTGCTGGGATTACAGGCGTGAGCCACCGTGCCCGGCTGTCAGCCCCATATTCTTAGGCACTCGGAGCCTCCTCCGCTCAGGGGCTGAGTCAGGTGCCGGCGGTGTCTTTGAGAGGGGCCTGCTTTGTCCCTGAAGTTCCGTATTGATAGTGTTACACTCTTCTCCACCTGGATCTGTTTCTTTCTCCCCTCTTTATCTTTTTCAAATCCGCAGTTATTAAGTACTTAGTGTGCACACAGGACTATGAACCTGAACTGAAGAATAATCCCATTCTGATTTCTTCCTCCAGTAGGCCACCTTAGGCCTACCGGTGGCTTCCCGGGATCGTGCAGAAACCAAAGAGCTAAGGGAATTGCCGCCCCACCCACCCCTGCACACACACTCAGCCTTCGCCGCTTTGGCCGGAGAAGCTGTGACTCGCTCGCACATCGGCCTCCAGGAGCCAGGCCGCACACAGGCCTCATGTGGACTCCGTCCCCTCCAGGTGAGGCCGCAGCGTTTGACGACGAGTGGCGGCGGGAGACGTCCCGATTCCGGCAGCAGCGCCCCCTGGAGTTTCGGCGGCTTGAGTCCTCAGGGGCGGGGGGACGAAGGGCGGAGGGGCCTCCCCGCTTGGCCATCCAGGGACCTGAGGACTCCCCTTCCCGACAGTCCCGCCGCTATGACTGGTGAGGGCCCCGGGCCCTCAGCCTCTCTTGTAAGTATCAGGGGTAAGGAGGGCGGGGTGCACCTGCGGATGGTCCTCGGCCGTGAGGCAGGCGCAGTCCAGGCTCCCGCAGGAGCTGCCTTTGATAGTGCGAGTTGGTGTGGAAAGAGAACAATGTTCTCACTGACATAGGCGATTAAACCCCAACTCCTGGCTCTTAACATAAGTTTTTTCTTCCTTTTGATTTGTGCTCCTCTCTTTTCCCCTCCAGGTACAGGCTGAGAGGCTGAGAAATCATCCCCTGAATAACTTTTTCCTCTCTGATTCCCATCCCCAATTTAATATTAAATTAACAGGCAAGCCGGCCCCCACCTCTCCCTGGGGGTCTCAGGGAGAACCTTTCCCTACTTTTTCCTTCTTTAATCCCCTTACCATGATGACTTCGCCTCTGCATCTACTAACTTGATTTTTCATTCTGCTGCTCCATCTTCAAACCCCCTCACCTTTCCCATTCTACTCCTGCCATGCATTGAAGGGTCTTTTGGGGTGAGCTCTGGGTTTAGGGGCCTCCTCCATCCCTCAGCTACCCTGGATCTTTGCCCACCTCTTCCTCAGAGCCCCCACTGAGGGGCCGTAGCCCTGTCTAGGGCTGTGGAAGGAGCAGACTGGTTCCCAACTCTTTCTCCCTACTCCTGCCCACACACATCACCAGAATCTTCCCTAAACCCTTCCCTGCCTTTATTTTTTGATTTGTGCAACTTGTAACTAGGTGTTTATGGAATAAAGGAGAATAGAAAAAAGACCAAATGGGATTCTGGCTGTACTTTTGATCTTTTCCTGTTCAATTCAACCCTCCTGTCTCCTCTGAAGTTATCTTCTCACTTTTCCTCATCTCCACGTGTAGCTTTCGTACCTCAGAGTTCAAGCCCACATCTCCTTGGTGCGGAGAGACCATCAGCACTGGCAGGTGCAGGCCATCAGCACTTGGCTGGGCTAGGCTGGGGCGTGAGAACATGAGCACGTGCCTCGCTGGCTCTCCCCTCACATTCTGCTGTCACTTTTCTCTTCAGGGATGCATTGGGCATCTCTCATGGGTGCCTGCAGAACTTGCTGCCCCTTGCTCCTTAGGCAGAGTTTCTTTCCTGCACTCTGGGTGGAAACACTTCAGATAACCCTGCACAGGCCTTCAGAGGGGAGGAACTCTGGTCTGCAGCGTTCCACAAACCCTCCACCCACAGTAGTTGAGAATTTGAGCCCAGGGAAGAAGACTAGAGAAGAAAACTTAACCTGGAACCTGAGCATGACTGGAAGGGCATGAGGAGCTCAAATTTCTCAAGACGTTCACTCTTGCTTTGCCCAGCCAAATGGGTCACTCTTTTCCTCTTGGGAACTTACTTAATGATGACAAATGTGTAGGAGAGTCTGATAATGGTTTCCTCTTTATCAAAGTCTTGAGTTCTTTTCAGTTGGGGACACAAAGACACCTAAGGCTCTGGGTCCTCTCAGGGAAGGGAGAATCTTGCCCTGTGTCTCATGGACGAGTAGATTCAAGAGGATAAGGAGCGGCTGAGTGCAGTGGCTCACACCTTATAATCCTCGTACTTTGGGAGGCCGAGATGGGCGGATCGGGAGGTCAGGAGATCGAGACCATCCTGGCGAACATGGTGAAACCCTGTCTGTACTAAAAATACAAAAAAATTAGCCGGGCGAGGTGGCGGCGCTTGTAGTCCCAGCTACTTGGGAGGCTGAGGCAGAAGAATGGCGTGAACCTGGGAGGCGGAGCTTGCAGTGAGCCGTGATTGCGCCACTGCACTCCAGCCTGGGCGACAGAGTGAGACTCCATCTCAAAAAAAAAAAAAAAAAGGATGAGGATTTGTCCAGTGACTCAACAAGCAGAGAGATAGAGATGAAGTTGAGCTCGGCCAGGCGCGGTGGCTCAAGTCTGTAATACCTGCACTTTGGGAGGCCGAGACGGGCGGATCACGAGGCCAGGAGATCGAGACCATCCTGGCTAACACGGTGAAACCCCATCTCTACTAAAAAATACAAAAAAACTAGCCGGGCGCGGTGGCAGGCGCCTGTAGTCCCGGCTACTCGGGAGGCTGAGGCGGGAGAATGGCGTAAACCCGGGAGGCGGAGCTTGCAGTGAGCTGAGATCTGGCCACTGCACTCCAGCTTGAGTGACAGAGAGAGACTCCGTCTCAAAAAAAAAAAAAAAAAGGAAAAAAAAAGTTGAGCTCAACAACCAGGCACTGGTGTCCTAGTCCAGTGCAGTTACTAAATCCCATTAAGTAGGCTGGTGAAGATGCACGACCAGGTCAAGGGAACCCAGTGGTGAAAGAATCCAGGAATCCCAGAAGTCAAACAGGTGTGGATTATTCACCAGCTGGGCTCTGAACTGTGGATGATGGAACTCAGCAGCCATGGTCCTCATCTTTCTTTTTTTTTTTTTTTTTTGAGATGGAGTATTGCTCTGTCACCCAGGCAGTGGCGTGATGTCAGCTCACTGCAGCCTCTGCCTCCCCAGTTCAAGAGATTCTCCTGCCTCAGCTTCCTGAGTAGCTGAGACTACAGGTGTGCGCCACCACGCCCAGCTAATTTTAGTGTTTTTAGTAGAGACAGGGTTTCACCATGTTGGCCAGGCTGGTCTTGAACTCCTAGACTCAAGTGATCCACCTGCCTCGGCCTCCCAAAGTGCTGGGATTACAGGTATGAGCTGTTGTGCCTGGCTTCATAGCTCTCATCTTTAAGTGTAATCTTGCCCTGTGCAGATAAGCACACGACTGTTTCCTCTGAGAAAGGAGTTTTCTTCACTCGCCTGAGAAGGCAGCAAGGTAACCTGGAATTGAAGGAGCCTCAGTCCTTAGCTCTGCCACTAACAGCCTTGTGGTCTTGGGCAGGTCACTCACCTCCCTGGACCTGAGTTATGTGGGGCCCTTCTAGCCACAAAATATCAGGCCCAGCCTCTCAACCCCGATTTCAGTTCCAGTGCTGCATGCGCAGGTGTAGTCCTGAGTGTGACTGGAGCAGGGTAAGGCTGCCCTGACCTCAGTCCAGGTGAGTCAGTCCAGTGTTTTCAGGGATTCCCCTGTTCAGGTCCCAGCCTTTAGGCATGTGAACTGATTTGTACCCCTGCTCCCTGCTGTAGGGTTTGGACCACCCTTCACCCCAGCCCTTACTCCTAGGGCCTGTGACTAGTTCTCAGCAGGAATATGTTGTGGGAAATGAGGTGTGTGTTAGCATCAGTAGAGTGAGATGCTCAAGAACCAGCCCCCAGTGGGGCGCGGTGGCTCATGCCTGTAATCGCACTTTGGGAGGCCGAGGTGGGCGGATCACGAGGTCAGCATATCGAGACCATCCTGGCTAACACGGTGAAACCCCGTTTCCACTAAAAATACAAAAAATTAGCCAGGCGTGGTGGTGGGCTCCTGTAGTCCCAGCTACTTGGGAGGCTGAGGCAGGAGAATGGTGTGAACCCGGGAGGCGGAGCTTGCAGTGAGCCGAGATCGCGCCACTGCACTCCAGCCTGGGCGAAAGAGCAAGACTCCATCTCAAAAAAAAAAAAAGAACGAGCCCCCTAGCACATCCTGACCTGTCTGCCACTGGGGTAAGGGCCACGGGACAGGAAGAGGAAAGGAACTTTTCCGAGGGACACAGATATTCTACTTCCGGTCAGCTCTCCATCTGGGCCCAGCCTCACACAGCAGCCACCCCTCAGCCACCGGCCCAGCGAATACCCAGAGGACATGGGCAAATGACTCAGGTTATTTTCTCCACCCCAGAACATTACAGGTTGGAAGAGGCTGACACTAGGTGTGTGACTAAGCAGAATAACACAGAGGAGGGAAACAGGCTGCAGACGCACAAGCAAGACCTGGCCCCACCACTCAGCCACACTGTGGGAAAGACTCTTCCTCTCTCGTAACGTCAGTTCCCCACTTTGTCAAATGGACCTTTCTAGGCACTGGTGACTGTGGATTCATACCTCAGAACTGAGACCTGAGTGAGTGCAGAGAGCGTCTGACACGCGCATGGGATACAAATGACCGTTCCACGCTAGTATGTCTCCCTGGTCACTCTCTCCCTGCCTTGCTCCTTCAGGGTTCTCTGGTGGTCCCTCATCCCCCACTCCATCCTCAGGACCCCTAAAATACTTCCAGACACAACCTGGATCTCATCCTACTGGCCTTGAACAGCCCCCAGCCGTTCACCCTCCCAGCTCCTGGCTATCATCTCTCACTCCCTCCAGACCTCAAAGTAGAAACAAATGTCTGAGGCCACTATCCCCCTGCCCTGTTTGTGGTTTGGGGTTTTTTCCCCATTCTATTGTAATGGCTTCAGGCCCTAGTAATAATACCCTTTTTCCTACACCCCCTACCCCATGTCCAAGTTATCTAAACAGGTGACCCAGAGAACCAGGAACTGGCCCACAGGACCCAGAAGTCTGGTCTTGCCACCTGCATATTCCAAGTCCATTTAACTCACATACCTTCCTGCCTTTATGTTCCCAATCCTGGGACTGTCATTCCAGGGGCTGAGGGAACAGCAGGGCTCAAAGATGCCTTCTCTCAGCCCATTCCAGTTGGGGTAGGGGCAAGAAGAAAGCAGTCTCAACCTCTGTCGCTCGTAGACACCACTGGAGTCTTAGGAGAGGCAGGAGACAGGTAGTGCTGCACCAGGACGGGGAGATGAAGATGGGACAGCGAGGCATGGGAGGCACTGGGAGGCGAAATAAATCACTGAGGAGCTGGGGCATGGGGAGACGTTGGTAGCTGGCTCTCATAAGGAGCCTCTGTCCAGCCTCATCCCTCGGGAGAGCCTGTGTTGGGGGCACAGAGCTAACATAGCCTGAGGGAGAGGGGCCTGGGACGCTGAAGCCTGACAGAGCTACTACAGAGGGGGCCCTGAAACCCCCCAGTGTAGAGCAGTGTAGAGTGTGCTCATGACTCTTAGCCCTCTTAGCCTCCGTGTCTGCTTTTTTTTTTTTTTTTTTTTTGAGACGGAGTCTCCCTCTGTGCCCAGGCTGGAGTGCAGTGGCGCGATCTCGGCTCACTGCAAGCTCTGCCTCCCAGGTTCACGCCATTCTCCTGCCTCAGCCTCCCGAGTAGCTGCGACTACAGGCGCCCGCCACCACGCCCTGCTAATTTTTTTTTTTTTTTTTTTTTGTATTTTTAGCAGAGACAGGGTTTCACCGTGTTAGCCAGGATAGTCTCAATCTCCTGACCTCGTGATCCGCCCGCCTCGGCCTCCCAAAGTGCTGGGATTACAGGCATGAGCCACCGCGCCCACCCTTTTTTTGTTTTGTTTTGTTTTGTTTTGTTTTTAACGGAGTCTCGCTCTGTCACCCAGGCTGGAGTGCAATAGCACTCTCGGCTCACTGCAACCTCTGCCTCCCAGGTTCAAGCGATTCTCCTGCCTCAGCCTCCAGGTAGCTGGGATTACAGGCATCTGCCATTACGGTCCGCTAATTTTTTAATTTTTAGTGGAGAGGGAGTTTCACCATGTTGGCCAGGCTGGTCTTGAACTCTTGACCTCAGGTGATCTGCCTGCCTGTGCCTCCCAAAGTGCTGGGACTACAGGCGTGAGCCACTGCACCCGGCCCATGTCTGCTCTTAAACGGTAGCTCTTGGCAGACCAGGAGAAGCAGAAAGTGCTTCCCTGCCTGGGCTCAGGGCCCTCTGGACTGTCCCTGAGACGAGACAAACTGGGTTAGCATTCAGCCTTTCTCTGCCCCTTGAGATTCTCTTCTTCCTCCCTAAAGCCCTTATCTTTTGGGTGGGAATAGGGTGCTGCTCCTGGTTT